GTGTGTGTGTGTGTGTGTGTGTGTGTGTGTGTCTGTACATGCTCACCATGGCAGTTATGACTCTGACCACATTGACAGGATCCCCTCGGCCAGATGGGGACATGTCACTCTTCTCCAGGAGGAACAGGCAGGCTTCCAGGATTCCTTCTTGAAACTGGAAGAAAGAAACATTTTGTTTTTTATCATTAAAAACATTTGAATTTACACAAAGGCAAACAAGTTTGGAGAAATGGCAGAGCCATGGCTGCAACATAGCAGGAATACAACATAATGGCTCTCCCATTTATATAGGGTGAGTCAGAAGTCACTGGACACACTTTTTAATAAGAAAGAAAAAAGAAAATGGCGTATCTGAATTCTCTAACAGGTCATGAGTGAAGGGGCCTATCTTTGAAAAAAAAACATGCCCTTGATCCAAAATGGCAACTTTCAAAATGACAGCCATGTTCTAGATACAGTCTAAAGATAGGTCATTTTCCATTTTCTTTTTGAAACAAAAAGGTGTCCTGTGACTTTTGACTGTATTTTTTTTACAAAATAGGACATCATGTTATACAATGAAAGCTTACAACTACTTTGTCAACATTTGATCTCAATAACAAGCAAAAGGTGCAGACAAAGACTTCCCTCCCAAGATTGCAAAAGCCTTAAATTGATGGTCTGATTTTTTCATAAATGATGTCAAATAGTAGTAGTTAGTACCCTATCAGTGATGACATCAGTCACAGAGCAGAGTATAAAGAAAAAGACAGAAGTCTCCCCCCAGGCTGTAGGCTRGCCAAACAAGAACCTGTTTTATATTGTTTTTCAGGCTTAATAAATATTTATTTTAAAAATGTCATATTGGTGCGAAGGAATGCTTCATAAACTGTAAATCTCAACAGTTAGGTTTAGTTTGTCACTGTTTTCTCCAATGAACAACCAAAGTGTTACAACATAAACATATGTGTATTTCAGTTTAGAAATCCATAGCTAACTAAACAAATTTACTGGAATGGGGAGCTAAAGGTTTGACCAATTGAGGCCAGGTGGATTTTTGCCATCATGAAGCAGCTTTAAAAGGCATCACTGTTGCATTTCACTGTTTGTGTCAAAAGTTATTATTTACACTGAAGGTTTTGTAGGTCTGTGGCCTGGTACTATTACAAAAAAACCATTTCATCTGAAAAATATCTTGAAGAGTGGAGCATGTTAGACATGGCCTTGAAAGGAAAGTATCTGAGACAAAAATAATGCACCATGAAAAAGAAAAAAAGTATAGAGGGAGGGAAGCTGGAGAAAATGCATTTTCATTGATTTTYACGCCGTCTTCCTTTAGCTTCAAATAAATAGTCTGGCTGAGTACAACTAACACGTTCTGTTCTTGCAGAAAGTGTATTGCATTAATACTTTTTTTGGAAGTGACCACAGACACATACTTTCATGTGAACAGCCATAGAATTTCATGTAAATACCTCGACTGCAATGTAAATGTTTATAAAATGGGGTTTTCAAGATGGAAGTAGCTGTGAGACAACAGCAGTCCACTCTGGTCTTAGCTTTTCAGAAGGTGTCATCTTATCAGTCCAATCAGATTGAACTTTTTATTTTTTTTCTAACTGAGATAATTTAAACCAGGGGTTCTCAAACTCTATGGGTCTGGAGACCCCTTACAAGGGTGAAAAAATGCCAGGGACCTCTYCATAAACCCCATGCTGTTAAAGCAAAAATAATTTGCTGTTATTTTAACCCCCAAATGTCATGGTAATAGTATTTTTTGTTTGCTTTATGTTTGTTTTACTAGTGCATTTTCCCCATATGCATTTTAAAAGTAAAATCCAAATTAACAATTTACTGAAATTTTTTCACTCACACCTAGGGACAATTTAGAGTTATCAATTAACCTAACAGTCATGCTGTTAGGTTAATTGATAACTCTAAATTGTCCCTAGGTGTGAGTGAA